AACACATAACGGGGAGCGGGGAAAGAAGCTACGGGAAGCCTTCTCATTCATGCACTCTTTGGGACAGGTGGGTCTCTTGCCACTTCGCTCAGTTCCTCACCTGGACTCTGAAGGGGTCTGAGATTCCTCGCTGGCCTGCCCTCAGGCTGCACGCTTCAGGCAAAGTCGCTCATCTCCTCCAGACAAAGACGCCCCAAGAAGGAAGTGAGTGCTCCTCCTTGTGGCAACACTGAAGCCCGGGTTCTCCAAGTCGAGTGTGTGGGCGGGGTTTCTGGAGCACCTCTGTGCTCGATTGGAGGGTACCCTGGTTTCAGAGGGGGAGTCACAGCAGTCCCCTTTTCTAACCTTGAATACAGCCCTCTGCTGCCCACTTTACGAGACCCACTAGATCTTCCTTGCAGAAGTCAGCCGGACCGTGCAGGCTGAGAATAGGTAAGGAGACATCTACGTGACGCCATGGTAGACTGGGTGGTGCTCACCTCAGTGGTTGTTCATTGAGGTTTCATCGCAGCTCCTGTCTATTTTTTTAAAATATTTATTTATGCGTACAGAACTGGGGTACAGATGCCCCAGAGGTGCAGGGGCGGTGAGAGGACTCACCAGAGACAGAGTGGGGAGCAAAAACAGGTCAACTGATGAAGCACACTGCTAAGGGGAGCAGCGGGTGGGTCAGGAGAGGTCTGCTGCGCCATGTGGGTCACCTCCGGGGCTAGGGATCGAATTCATGCTAAAAGTGGCTTTAGCTTCTTAGTGCTGTGCTTTAACCCACTGCACCACCAGGGAGGGCCCTGCCTCTTTATTTAAAAAAAAAAAGGATTTACATCACTGTTCATTTTTGTACGTGCTTGATTCTCTTTAATGGGATGCTTTCTGGGAAGGGCCACAGACTGGCAATTTGTGAATAATTGTTCTCCGCAGAAAGAGGCAGAGGCTTTGGGACAAAAAATGGGCTGTTGGAAAAAGTAAAAGCTCACGCTCAGCTAGTCCTCGTTACCACTTAGCCGTCACCCCTTCTGTAACTTCTGTCCCAAAATGATTTACTTACTAGAAAAATGGACTGAGCCAGATAATTTTGTGAGAACCCATCTTTTGTTTTTTTTTTTTTTTTTTAGTAACTGATACTACATAAGTGGATGCTCATATTGTTGCCAGATAAGCTAGGCTTCCTTCTGTTATTCATAGCTCTCCTATTTGGGTGTGTATTCCAGGCCATCATACCTCTGGCTGTGTATTTCAGGCCAACTAGGGCCACACATAGCTCTTTTGTTGTTGTTGTTAAGCATTGTTTATTTCTGAATAGAGAACTGGGGAAGTGGGGTACAGGCCAGAGGTGCAGGGGCCGTGAGAGAATTCACCAGAGACAGAGTGGGGAGCAGAACAGGTAGATCTACTGAAATACACTGCTGAGGGGAGCAGCGGGCAGGATATGAGAGGTCTGCTGTGCAGTGTGGGTCACTCCCTGGCTGGGAGGATCGAACTTGTGCTATTGCAGCTGCAGAGAGCTTCATAGTGCTGTGCTTCAACCCATTGCGCCACAGGGAGGACCCTCTTTATCTTTTTTAACTGCCTGAGTTAGGAGTATGAGTAAACTGAGTGAAGAGACACTCAGGGTGTTCGAGCGGCATGTGTCGCGGAGAACTGTAGCCCAGGGTTCTGGTCTAGCTCTTCACTCACGGCATTGTGCTAGGAGAATATTGCAAGTTCTTCACCTGCGACCTACGTTTGATACACCCCATCTTGTAGTACTGTGCAATGTTTATAGTGCATCTCAAGCACCTGTCAAGATGATTGGCGAATATCTGGTATTTAATGAGTGACAGTTAGGATGATTTTTACCCAGACATTCTCAACCTGCTATCTAGGAGTGGTGGTGGTGGTGGTGTTTAAATTCAGGGTACATCAGGGAAATGCACTGAAAGAGCCCACATGAAAGAGCCCAGATCCGACCAACAATTCTCTTAGCAAGTCAAATTAAGGAGCCTTTCCCTGCTAGCACATTTATTATTTAATTTTGGTGTGTATTTTTTTCTCCAACTGATTGTCACAATCAGAGCTCTTAGTGTTTTGTCAAAGACCAGTTCTTTCAATTCTCCCTAACTTGCTTTCTGTCCAAATCACCCCTGTTTTCATTTGCCTCTGCCCCACTCAAATCTAGCAATTTTCGTAGATTTTGGTAAATTAAACACAAGATAACTTGATTAAAACCCCTTTTTAATGGAGTGGATCTGACTCTACCAGTTGCAGGCAAAAAAAAAGGGGTCAACACAATGGCTTCAGTGCACCTCACATCTTATTTCTCAGAAACTTCCTGGAGACAAAGTACACAGAACACCCAGTATGTGTGCGAAATCTTGCAAATTGAAATAAGAGCAAAGCCACCTTTGATCTCCTACCTGTTAGGAACTGGATTGTATTCCGCCTTCCTGCCCATGCATGTTTAAGACATAACCCCAGCACCCCAGAATGTCACTCTAGTGGGAGATAAGGTCTTTAATAAGATGATTAAATTATGGAAAAAGAAGTGGTCATTCAGGTGGGGCAAAAATCTAGTTGGACTGTTTTCCTTTTATTTTTAAAAATAAAAATACTATTTCATTTCATTACATCATTGTTCATTTTGGAATAGTAAGTGTAGTTCTGACAGTGCTCCCGCCACCACAGCACCTGTGAGCCATCACCACAGTCCCTTGTGCTCTTCCTTTCCCTGTTTTACCCCCTCCCCCTCCCTGCTGTATGCCTCAGGTCTATGGTCAATCTGCAAGTTGTTTTTTTTTTTTTTAAGTTTTATTTATTTGTGCATACAGAACTGGGGTACAGGCCAAAGATGCAGGGGCAGTGAGAGGATTCACCAGAGACAGAGTGGGGAGCGGAACAGGCAGATCGACGAAGTACACTGCTGGAGGGAGCAGTGGGCAGGTCAGAAGAGGTCTGCGGCGCCATGGGGATCACCTGCGGGGCAGGCGGGAATCGAACTCATGAGGAAGTGGCTTTGGCTTCTTAGTGCTGTGCTTTAACCCGCTGCGCCACCAGCGAGGGTCCTATTTGTTGTTGTTGTTGTTGTTGTTTGTAAGAGACTATGGCATACAAGAAGACACATGGATGAGGGGCATAAAGGCCATCAAGGGAGAAGGCCACCTCCAAGCCAAGGAGAGAGGTACCAACACCGCCAGCTCCTTGATGTTACACTCCAAGCTTCTAGAATTATGAGAAAATAATTTCTGATTGTTTAAGCCTCCTAGTCGGTGGTATGTTGTTAGGAAAGTCCTAACAAATTAACCCACTTCCCTAAGTAGAGATTTCTTTCTGGATTATCTAGATCCCAAAGTGATTCCCAAAGACTGTGTGCTAATTTTTTTGTTTTTCCTTAATTGTTGTTGTTGTCTACTAAATTGGTTTTTCAAATTGAGATAGCACTGCTTTACAGCACTGTGATTCAGAGGTAAACTTCACTCTGCTACGATGTTTGATGTTTGCTACTGCCCCACACCCACCAACAAAGGACGATGGTCCCCCCGTAGTTGGCTGTACCAAAAAGCAGGCTTTGCAGGCTTCCTTTTTACGCTACAGAGTGAAGGTGGAATTTCCACACCATCGGGATAGGGTCTCCAGACATAGAACCACCCTGATGAGACAGCAGTGTTGTGATTCCTGTAGAATCACAGGCCAAGGGGAGGATGGTGCACAGGCCATATGCTACAACACGGGGTGGCCCTCGGGACAGAGTGAATGTGCAGGGTCTCTAGGCGGCCTCGGTGGTATCCAGATGCTGACCCTAGTTCCCATGGCAACAGGTGACCCACTTGTTTGAATAATCCTGCGGGCTGCTAGCATCTGTGCCCTTCACAAAGACGGTTGTATGCCAGGGAACCTTACCTGTACGAAGAGTGTGGAGGGAGACTCGCAGTTAGCACTTTGATGCCTGCTGGTTTCACCAAATGTGGCGGCAGCTCGTAACGGGTCTGCATTTAGACCGTACCCTCTGACACTTTTCTCTTTAAAGATTCTCTCTCTTAACTCCAAGACGTGTCATCTGAGGGTCTGGGCTTTGCTCACCTACAGTCAGCTAATTCCCCACGTAATTTCAGTTTGCTTATTTATTTATAATATTTTTCACACCATTCTTCATTTTTGTACAGTGTATGTATGCTGTTTCATCTCGGTTGTAATCCCGGTTGGCTTCACACCACCAGTTCACCAGTGTGCCATCACCATGGTCCCGTGTGCTCTTCCCACCCATTTCGAGCCTATTCCCTCCTCCCCTATAGAATAACTAGGGCTTATAGTTGTTTGTTGGTTTTAGTTTTTACTTTATTGTAGTTACTTCCCTCCCCCCCCCCCCGACACCTTACACTCTTGCTATGGGTAAAAACCAATATATATATTTTTGCCATTTAAAATTATTTATATTTTTATTAGTTTCACGTTTTTCTTTTTTTTTAAATATATTCATTAGATCTTCCTTCATTTTTTAAACATATGGTTTCCCCATGAAATTCCCACCACCAGTTCACCTGTCCACATAATTTTATGTGACATCACACAGATTGATTTTTGAGTTTCTCCAAATTTAAACTACCCCGTCAGGGAATTTACACTTTACCGCTCTCCCCTGGAACACCTCCCCTGTCCACCCATTCTTCTTCCTTTCCTATAAACCATAGAAGGCAGCTCAACAACTTTATATGGTTGCAGCTCCGACCTTCTAAAGTTCTATGGTCTTCTCTCCGCATCCCTAGTACTAGCAGTGGGCCTTCCAAGGAGCAGGTGTTGTGTTGATGTTTGGAGTAAAAACAGAAAGATGTCTAACTTAACACCCCCTCCATTGTTTAGTATGCTTATCATTTAATTTTACCAAACAAAACAATGCAAGGACTAAGGAAAATCAAGTTTGAGCATGATGTTTTATTTCATTATCCCAAACATTGTACTGTGGGATTTTTTTCACCTTTCCACTCAGATCCCTGTTGCGATGTCATATAGACCTGATGACTTCAAAAGCTTCAGGCATCAGTAGGAGTGGGAGCTGCAGCTGAGCGTCCCAAGGGAACGCTGGCCATGGCGCTACTTCCAGGCACAGCTGCAGCTTTGGCTTGAGCTCTTTCTTGTTCCTCCCGTAAAGCTTCTTCATACTGCTCTCTGAATGTGCTAGGATCGGTGTTGTTGACTTTGGCTAAAAATTCCAAGATTTTAATCTTGCTTGTTTCAACATATGTTCGAGGACCCCACAGAAATTCGTAACGGGCTGGGTTGCTGTTGGGTATCTGGCGGTATTCCAGGTACTTCAGTTTCACTAGATCTTTCGTGATAAGTTTCTTAGGCTCTCCATAAACGAGGTGCTTCCGCCCAGCATAGATGCGCATCTTGTTTAGGAATTTCCAAACTTCTTCCTCACTAGCACTATTTCCCTTCATGAAAATGAAACCTAGGACCGTCATCAAGAGACCGGTCTTGGGTAGCCCCCTGCCTGCTCGCACCCTCCCGTTGTTAGGGAGTCTCAGCTTGCTGACAAGGTCATATAAGTGAAGGGTAGGGTCAATTTCCTTTAAGTCAACCGCAAAGACCACCTCAATACGCTCAGCAGCTCTCTTAAGTATCTCTGAATAGTAGCGTTGGTCGACAATCTTCAGCATGTCTTCTTTCCTAATGGGTTGTTTCATCTTATATTTGTACAGAAGGAACTGCTCAAGCACTGCTGTTTGCATAGTCAGAACGTCACCGAATGACATCTCAGTAGTTGAGAGCTCAGAAGAATAGGAATTGCCATCTTGGCCACTATCTTCATCAGTTGTTACACCAGAAGAGTCTGTAGAAGCCTCCTGGGAAGTGCTACTGGGCTCAGTAGTTGGTAATATCTGGGAAGCAGCCTCCACATCAGAAGAGGTCGAAGGAGCCTCTTCTGCTGTGGCCTGAGCTCTTTGGTTACTGTGAGAGTTAGCCCGCACCTGGTGGCGTTTTCTATGGGAACGCTGCTTGCCTTTTGCACCACGAGGCATGACTGTGGTCAGGAATGTTAGTGGCCCAGCAGCTGCTGGGGCACTGAAGGAGGAAGGTGAAAGGTGTGAGCATTCTCAGAGTGGAAATACCACCTGGCTATAAGCAGGCCACATTTGCAGCTGCCTTGAAGGCACTGCTCTAGGAACCCATAGGACCCCCCGCCCTGTCTCCTAATCCTGGGGGTTAAGTCCCTTGGGGAACCTGTGGTGAAAGTTAGTGTGTGTCTTAGGCCGCTTCCTGCCTGCCCTGCCTCGGCCAGATGGGGTAACAGCGACTGGCAGTCTTCTAGACTGCGGAAGTTCTCTCTACATTCATGACAATAGGGTCAACTGGTGGCAGATTGGGAGTCCGCCCTCCCTCCGCTGCCCTGAAGTGGACATCTCCATTCTCCTTGGGGCCCATGAGGCTCGAGGTCCTCAGCTTATTAGCCCTGTGCTGACTAATCAGTGGGGCATCTTCGGTCCTGGCTTCTTTGCCTTATCAATCCTCATTAAAGGTCCTTACTTTGGCTTCACATAGGGCCTAGTACCCTAGTACACCTCCCATAGACCTTGTATTTTAAATAAGTGTTGGGTAAACATCAGCCCGATAGCCCTGACTGGGGCCCTTAGGGTTGAAACCGGGGCAGGGCCAGAGTTGTATTTAGTGGTAGATAGTCTCTGAGCCCTAGATCTCACCCCTGCCATGGTCTGGCATTCCTCCCTCCCTCACCCTCAGGTCTGTCCCTCATATTAATACCAGCACCACCCTGAGAACCTCCCCAGAAGAAGTGAGGATCTCCTCATCAACTATACCTTTCTCCGTCTTCTGAGGTCTGAAGTGAGGAGTAATTTCTACGGTTCTCCCAATGTTATGGGGAATGTGTTGCCCTTGGTCCTCAGGGTATTCGCCTTCACCTCCTACTGCTGCTCTAGGCTGGTAGCCTTGGACTAAGTAACCAACACCTTTGTGACATCATCGGAGGAGCTGGGTATGTCACTTCCTGTCACTTCCTGGTATCCAAGGCTACCTGCAAGGGTGGGGCTCTGAGGGGCCCTCTCAGGCCTGAGGGCAAAAGGTTTCCTAAGTTCACTGGAGGTCCTTAACTTGCTTTCTGGCAGGGCCTGGGGCTCTCTCTTTTGTTCACCCGAGTGACCCCCCACCCCATACCAAGGGCTTCATGCCTATAACTCCCTTTCTGCAGAGTGGCTGGCAGCCCTACCCAAAGCTCTCAGGGCTGATGGCAAGAACAATCACTGTATCACTGCATGGCTCTGGGGTCTTTGAGCCCCTCAGTTGACAGTTACGACCATGATTCCTAGCAGGTTCTAAGGTGCCTGTTTCCACTGTCTTGGGTCTCAGAACCACAGTCCACAGTCCATATTTAAACAAACAACCCAAGTCTTTTGCTTGCCACCTAGCAAGCCAAACTCTGAACCACCAGATAGTCTTTTCACAAAGAAATGTATTACTTTTGAGGTGGTCCCAAGAGAGTTGGGGCTAATACCCTAACATAAGTAAGTTCCAGGCATGGCTGCGATATTGTGATTATATGGGGACTGGAAGGAGGTGAAGCAATGGGGGAGGGGCAAGAAGACAGCCGTGAGGAGTTTCACTTTGCCAAGTGCAAGGAGGAGGTGCTAGGCAGAATAGCCAGCATGAGTTAAGGGGGTCTTATCTTCTCTAGTGGAGTGTTCCGTGGTGGTTAGCAGCCGATAATGTCCAGCAGATGCTTGCCCTGGTGTTATCAATGTCACTGGGGTGGAAGGGCACAGAGAATTTTGGTAGCAATGCGACATAATTAGTCCTCAAGATTCCCAAGGGAATGTAGTTAGAGAATAAATCACCACAAGAGGTAGGGGGAGAAGGGTGATTAGTATTTTACTCAACTAGTTTAAACTTTCTGCAGGCTGGGGAGCAGCAGGGATCCAGCTCCACTTACTCCCAGAGGTTCCAGGGAGAAGTTGGGCAATACAAGAGGCTTCTCCTGCCAGTGCCCTGCCGGGGTTTGACATCAGGACAGAGCACTCTTGGGGACCTTTCTGTTCACAGTGGAGTGGTGCCCTCAGTTCTCAGGGTCCGCACCATGACTCCTGGCAAGCCCTGGGTTTCCTCTTTCGGTCAGAATGAGAGCACTCAAGTCGACCCAGGGGCCCTAGACTGAGACGTGTAAACGAAGTGTACACGAGGGCCCTGGCTTGGCCCTGGAGATAGAGAGCAGACACAGCTCAGTCTCTCAGGGACTCCAGTTATTCTAGGGTGCTGTCTCCTCATTCATCAATCTTCATTCTAACCCCCACCTCTTCTATGAAAGGCTTCCTGGAAAAGGCTACGTCCCTCCAAACTCTTAATTAGTCTCCCTACTGCAAACCTTTCAGAGAAAGATTTGAGTCCCAGGAGTCAAGTTGGAAATGTCAGCACAGAGCCCAAGATACAAGTTGTACTATCAGAGAAAACACCCCAAATATTTCCTTTGCTTTGCTAGTGACATTGTTACTAAGCACTATCCCTTTATCTTTTTCATTCTTTATTCAACACTTGACCATTATTTTGGCATTTTTATTGTATTTTCCTTGAGCTACGTGTTCCCAAACAATATTTGGGGTGTGAAGTCTTGCTTTTTAATTCTTTGCATAAATTTTGGAGCATGAGCCTAGAAGTGAATGAAGTAGCACAAGGTGTGCCCCTATGCTGGGGGACTGGCAGCACTCGGCTTGAGAGGAATTCAGAACCAGGGCCCAATCCAGCTCTGTCTCGCACCAGCCTTGAATGTGAGATATCCCAAGTTCTTGAGCAGTAAAAATCAGCCTGAGGCCCTCCCTGCTGGTGCAGAGGGTTAAAGTACTGCACTGAGAAGCTAAAACCACTTCCGCATGAGTTCGATCCCTGCCCGCCCCGGAGGTGACCACATGGTGCGGCAGACCTCTCCTGACCCGCGTGCTACTCCCTCAGCAGTGTACTTCATCAATCTGCCTGTTCTACTCCCCGCTCTGTCTCTGGTGGGGCCTCTCGCCGCCCCTGAGCCTCTGGCCTGTACCCCAGTTCTGTATGCACAAATAAATAAATCTTAAAAGAAAATCAGCCTTAAAACTCTACAATGTGGGACTGTAGACATATAACAACACATGTGAACCCCTAACACTGGGCCCGGCAAACTCTGGTGTTTTAATGAATGGCAGGTGTTACTGAAGATCACTTTGACCCCGGACAATAGAAACCTTCCCTCATTGAACTTTATTTCCATCCTGTATTAGTGACTGCTGCAACTCCAAACAGTACAGTAATCCACAACAGACAATATACTGCTGAGCAGGTGAGCATGAGTAGTATTTCCCCAGGAGTGCATTTGTGGTTTGGTATAGCTGCTGGGTACCTACAATGCAAAGGACCAGAAACTTCTTCCCAGTTATTTCCACCCAAACCATCTGCTATTTTCATCCATTGCATCCCCACCAAAAATCGAGTGTTTACTTAGAATTTGGCAAATAATTCCACAAAATATTTTAATTAAATCAAAATAAATTAATCAAAATGCCCTTTTCATGGATGAGCTCTGCCCATGAGTGACAGTTCAACAGATTCCTGATATCTTATTTCAAGGAACCACTCACCCTTACTTCTTACAAACTCTCTGGATGTGCCTAAAACACCTATTATGTGCACTGTAATCAAGTGTCCTGGGGCATCTCACAGGACCCTTCCAGTCAAGCCTCAGGTGGAGATTATCTCTGGTTTCCTCACAGTCCAACTAGCTGGTAGGATTGGTCTCCATTCTAGGTGTCCCTAGTCTCACAGCTCTGAGATTTGCCATCTGTGGATGTGAATTTTTACACCAGACCCCTATGACACCCTCTAGCTACTGAGCCTCCTGCTTTAAAATTACCATACACACAGGGAGTGGCATTGCCCCAAGCCCCTTGAACCATGATCAGGTAATTGGCACTTGTTGGCTCTCTGAACCTCCTCTTTGATACCTAGAGTCTCTCACCATATTACGTCAGAGCTGCTGTTAAACTTTAAAATTCTAAGGCTGCAACTCTGAGTCCCTTTTCATATATCCCCACTATTACCGATGTAACCTTCCAAAGAGCAGATGCTCAATTAATGTGAAAGGAATAAAAGGTAATGAACAAGAAGTCAAGTTGATCCAAGTATATCATTTATTTTAACAAGCAAAGAACAAAAAGTAAAAAGCAAAGGAAGAATTGACCAGTATTGCCCTGGTTCAACCATTGTGTTATGACAAACATTTTCCTGCAGGATTTCTTCCATTCACCAATAAACAAATAAATCCCATGTCAATATCCTGTTAACGCATTCTGCAGCACAATATTTAAGATTTTTCACTTTGCTTACAAGTAACAAACTCTGAATATTAAATATGAACACGAGTTGATTAATGACACTAATCAACTTATATTTTAAACAAGATAAAACTTAAAGAAAAGAACTATTTTAAAAGACAGACCTAAAAGGTTACTCATTAAAACGGGGGGCGGGGGGAAACAAAAGATATATTTCTTCTCCCAAAATATATTCGTTGCCATTACCTAATACGCTAACAACTTGCAACAAAAACAGAGGGGAGAAGCTGGCCCAGGCTCCCTAGGTGTGGGGGGAGCTGGGTGGCTTGGCCCCCGAGGGCACGCGGGCCTGGCCACCAGAGCGAGCCCTGGCCAGGCATCGCAGTGATGCCCTCTCCACCTCATCACACAGAGCCTCCTCGTACAGCCCGGGGAAGGCACTCGGGGTGGTGTGGCTGATCTTGGCCAGCACGCTCAGAACCTTCATTTTGGTGGTTTCCGCGTGGGCCCGCGGCCCCCACAGGAACTCGTAAGTGGGGGGATCACTGCCGGCCACCTGGCGGTACTCCAGGTACTTGGCCTGCACCAGATCTTGGGTGATGAATTTGCGGGGCTCCCCAAAAATTAAGTGCCTCCTGCCAGCATGCACCCCCAAGACATTGAGGAATTCCCACACCTCCTCCTCCGAGGCCCGGTTGCCCTTCATGAAGATCACACCCAGCAGCGCCATCAGGAAGCCGGTCTTGGGCATGCCCACACCACCGGACAGATCCTCTTCGCTGGAGAGCCCCAGCTTGTTGACCAGGATATAGGTGGGGTTGCTGCGGTTGACTTCCTTCAACTCCAGCCCGAACACCAGCTCCATGCGATCACAGGCTCTTCTGAGGATCTCGGCGAAGTGCGGCTTGTACTTCTTGTTGACCACCTTCAGCAAGGCGACCTGGGTGACGGGCTCCTGCGATCTGTACTTCTCCAGCAGGAACTGCACCAGCTTGCTGGCCTTGCGGGTGAGGGGATCCTTGCCATAGGTATCCATGGTGGCTGTCACCTGGGAGACATTGCTACTGGCCCCCTCGGGGCTCCTGACCCTTTCCCTGGACATGAGGCAGGGGACCCTTACATGGTGACAGCCACAGGCCAGGGCCCTCCTGTGCTCCTGGGGAGAGCCAGCAGCAGGGGGGCTGGGGGCAATAGCCTCAGGCTCATCACGGGGGGAGGAGGGGGCAGAGGAAGACTCCTCCTCCTCTGCCGAGGGAGCCTGGGCCTGGGCCTGGGCCTGGGCCTGGGCCTGGTCACCCTCGGGACTCTGGGTCTCCCCCCGGGACTGGTGACGTTTCTCCCGGGCCCGGAGCTTGCTCTTCTGACCGCGAGGCATGAGGACGCTGGTCAGGGACAGCAGGGGCACCTGGAGGAGGGAGAGGGAGAGGGCGTGAGCACCCCACCAGGGAGATGCCTCCTTGGCTCTGACCAAGGCTGCATCTGGGGGTCCCACAGGGCACTGCTCCAGCACCACCAAGGCCCCCGTTCTCCTGGCCTGTGACCCAGAAACCTGTGGAGAAAAATCATGTGAATCTCAGGGTTCTGCCTGCCAACTCTGCCTGGACGTTTCCGGGTTGACAGAGGCTGCAGTGGGAACCGCTCGGTTGGTCTGGGGTGTCCTCCCAATGCACAGGCAAGACTGCCAAGGTTGTCACTGGCAAGACTGCGGCCGCCAGGCCCCTCCCTGCTCTACACTGGAGACTGCACTTTTCCATGACACGGGAAGGAAGTTACAAGTGGCTTCAGCCCACCATCCCTGGCAGGGAGCACCCACAGCTCACTTTCTCTGTGGTCCTCTGGGCCCCTCACTTGTTGGGGTGCTCCCTTCTCATTCACCACCCTCAGCTGACCTCAGGGAGGGCCTGGCAGGCATCCTTGCTGCTGACAGTTGGCTTCACCTTCACACCAAGGTGGTCCCTCGCTAGCACCTGGTGTTCAGAAGCCAGGAACAGCCTCAGCCTGATGCACCTGCCCTGGGCCATCAAGGGCTGGAAGCAGGTGGGTCACAATGTGCTGGTTGGCACTGCGGGCCCAGTGCTCCCTCAGGCTGCACTCACC